CTGTATTATATCCAGCAGGGTAAGACATTTGCGGCTAATATGTTAATATTACTTTTGACTTTGGAATAATTCAGTATGTGCAGCGACCTGTTGGATGTCTTTCACAGGCTTAAGAGCCACTTTATTACTACAGTCATGTTAGTTTTTCAATAAATTAACTTAGTCTTTAAAATTTCAATATTTTCGTGTATGCAGCCGCCTGATGGGTACTTTCACGGCAGCCCTCACAAGCAGTGCAGCCTCAGTGTTATAGCAATGATGTAAAAGTTCTCAACAAGAAAACATTCTTTATATTATTGCTTATATGTTTCACTATTATGTGCAGTCGCCAAGCGTACAAGTTTTTCAGCCTGCACAAATGCAACAGCCTCGGTATTATAGCAATGATGTAAGTTTACAATAGGAGTACATTCTTAAATTTCTTTTTTATGCTTCAGTATTATGAGCAGTCGCCAAGCATACAAGTTTTTCAGCAGCCTGCACAAACGCAACAGCCTCAGTAATGAATTATGCTGCAGCAATAAATTATGAATTGTGACTTAGAGTTAATAAGATTTTGTTTAATCTGATTTAATACTACGTGGAGTCGTCCTCACACTCAGGAGAATCTCAGATTCAACCCCCGTGTAACGGCGACCAAGTAAGATTGAAATAGTCTTGTAGAGACTATTATGTAATTCTGTTAGTCCGTGCTGCAGATGGAATCACAGCAGGAGTCAGCAGTTCCGAGTACTTCTAACAGGGGGATATCTAGATTTCTAGGCATAAGAGAGGTAATTCAAAAAGGTATTCACCGAGTGCTCGTTTACGAGATTCCAGGTAGCCCGTTAGCGTATGTTTTCACAAACAAAAAGAAGACCTCAAAAGAGGATACCTTAGTTTATCAATGCTTGCAATGCAAAAAAGTCAGCAAATATACTGCAATTCTGGTCGGTCGTGTGAATAACTTACAAGACAAAAAAGACATTATTTCGTTCCATGATTGCAGGTTAACGGAGACGAGTTTCCAGAGGACCCGACTATAATTGGACATGCTTGCATTCCAATAGAGAGAACCAAAGAAAAGGCTGCAAAGTTGTCTTACGAAGAAAGTGAGCATTTTAATTATTGGTTTGTTCACTATATTAACGTATTCTACTTTATTTTCGTTTTCCTGCAATTGCGTTTCATAGTGCCTTCAACAAGTTTACAAAAACCAAGACGCAGCTTTGTTGCCAACAATAAGTCATTTTTTGAAAGTCGTTGACAGCATTGAAAAGATGGAATGGGGAGGTAGACAAGAGATCTTTGATTTGCTTTGACAAACAAAAAATGTACGACTTATTAGATATTACGCAAAAGCTGTCGGTGCTGGCCTGTTATCATGGAAGAGGATATGAAAGCAGGACGTCCGCATTGAACAAGTTCTTTTGCATTTCTCTGATAGCAATTCAGTACCATCCTACTTTTAGGGCAGTGAAGAGAACAATAAAGGAAGTAGATATGGATTATGTGCCTGACCACTTACGGAACTTAGCCAACGGAAGCGCATTTCTTCAATTCCAGCGACCATATGTGCACATTTACATGTCGCAGAGGATTGTA